GAAAGACCAAGTTGTTTGGATAATGAAGAATGCTGTTTCATCAGGATATCTTGGTTCTTCTGTCTATGCAGTAATTTTATTGCATAGGCATATGTAGCATAAAAAGTCGTTCTTCTCCTGACAGAACTGAATGCTGCTTTGATACTGATTTTGAATCTGAGTCTTTGTCCTGAAACAGGCAGCAAAATTATTTTTGGAATTAAAATGTTCCCAAACAGCTTCAACAAGGCAGGAAGCATATAGGTGGTTGCTAGTGTGAGAATCCATTTTGATTACAATGTATGACTCGGAAATCAGAAGATACGAATTTTATTTGTGGTTCTTCTACTGAATTGCTGTGTGGCGCTTGGCAAATCAATTGTATTTTGGTTACCAAACTGGGGAAACAGGGCCAGGCAGAAAGGCTGGGATTCTGAGTGTCAGTGTCTGAAAGGAACCAGGAGATTTTGTAGCAAAAGGCAATCCAGCCATGTTATGTTGTCCTGAAAACAGGAGCAGAAGATGCATATGACTGTTTGGTAACAAAACTTGGCTTACTTATGAAATCATGGTAACGGGCAGGAATATTTTGCTTTTGCAGATAGAAGTTTAAAGCCAGCTTTAAAGCTACACAAAGATAGTTAGTATTAGGCCAGGCTTAGAGCATACTGGTGAGTGGTTGTGCACCTCTAATTAAATTTGAGGGTTGATCACAGTCTTCTCGTTGCCACCACTCGAGTATTTTGCCATCTAGGTGGGCAGCGTAGCAGCAGCGTGCTGAGTGTTGCAGAGGGAGCATGCATTACGTCTGTCATTGATGCTCTGTCAGCAGATGAAGGGGTGGTGTTGATGGGCTGCAGTTCACAAAGTTGTTCATATGGTTTCTAGGCTGGTTAGAGGTGGTAAAGTGCAGTAAGTGCATCAGGACTCCAAGACAGAGGAAGGGTATGGATTTATTTAAATAAAAATACCTGTGCGATTGCTAGCTGAGCAGCTGAGATCTTCCCTGAAAGGAATGCTTTGTGGAAGCCAGCCCAGATAATGTTAGCTTTACACCCCTTCTCACCCCTGGTAGAAAGGTGTGGAGGGGAGGACAGATAGGTCTCTAGATCTGACTGGAAATGTGTTCCTCCTTATACCCCAGTGATGACTTTTTTTAAGCACTATTCTTCTGTAAGTTTTATGTTGATCATTTTCAGTTCTTGCCAGTTATCCAAATTATATTAAAATCAATTCTCTGGGAAGGCTTTCACTTGAAAAGCAGTGTAAAGAAGACAGGAAATACTAAAATAACAGGAGAAAATGTGAGATGCATAGACTGAATCGCTTTTCTGCATCATAGTCGTGTAATTCAGTTAGTGAGGAAATTCAGACACTGTTGCTTTTTAGCAGATCTCTAGCAAATAAGACAGAAAGGTGTTTTGAGAATTTAAGGCTATAAATTGACTTGCCTGGGATGACAGTCTGGGCCGGTTGCTTTAGAGAGGTTTTGGATCTGCAGCATTCCCAGTGAAAGCAGGGAGGAGCTGGTGGCAAGGTTCATGCAGGGAATGCAGGGTCGGATGGTGCTCATGGTGAATATGCATATAAGGTAGTTGTCATTCCCTCAGCGGTACCTCTGCCGTGCTGCGGTTGATGTTTTGCTGTTCACTCCGATACAGCAACCTGTACCTAGAACTTGATGTTAGAAAAAGGCAGTTGGCCTCCATCTACACCAAGGGGGATTGAAGCAAAGCAGAAATTGGAAAGAGCTGTGCATGTGAAGCTGGGGCGCATGCAAGAGACAGTTCCCTCTACCCACGCTGCCCACTCCTTCTCTTGGTGTAGATTTTGGCATTCACTGCAGTCTTTGTTGTTTCAGGTTGGAAGTTGAGTCCTGTGGTTGGAGCGGTGTACGGCCCTGAGTTATATGCAGGTAGAGCTTAAGTAGACACTTCCACTTCTGCCATTTAACTGCAGTGGTGTTTGTTTATGTTCTTAATCTGTTGTTTCTTTATAACCTTTTTACTTTTTTTTTTATTCTTTTAAAAATTAAATTAGCATCCAGCTTTCAAGCAGATGTCTCGTTGGGCAATGACGCCGCAGTGCCCCTGTCAGGAAGGGGGGGTATTAACACTTACATTCCTTTAATCAGTAAGTAGCCCCCATTGGCCCCTGTATTGTTACTGTGCTTGAGTTAACGATGACCTGTTACCCTTCTTCTCTCCAGTCTGCATAATATATACTTGAAAGGATGGGTCTTTCTGGGAATGAGTTTACCTTGAGCCAGAGTATACTGTGCAGTTGCTGTAACTTGTTCATCTGCAGTGTGTTTCTGTACTGGTTAATGGGTCTTTCTGAGAGATGAGGAGGCTGCAGAACAAAAGAGAGGGTGTGTGTGAGGAATAGACCATTCCCTTGCTCCCCTCCCCCTTTTTAAATCAAAGAAACCAAACAGACAAATCCCTAAAGTACATATTATACATACAAGCTGCTAAGCCGCGAGTCTGCAGGGCCCCCAGTGCCATGCACCTGGACGCACGCTGGGTTGGGTTTGTGCCCTGGGGCTCCTTCCCTCTCGGTATCTGTTTCTTACGTGTTTGCAGATGCCTCTGAGGTTTTACATAATTTCATCATGAGCCAGTTTACTCCAGTGTAAAGTGTAATAAAGCAGGCCCCACTATACATGGAGCCAGTTATTAGTCACAGTTGTTAAATGAAGGTGGGCTCTCAGTAAGCTGGCACTTTATGGGAAATTTCTGCTGCTGTTATATGGGCTATCTTGTCTTTCAGGCTTTAAAATGAACATACAGAGGATTGGGTGGCAAAGAGTGGGAGGGGAGAGGAGGGAAGAGACTGATGTAAGTTGGTTGACTTTAAGGGCCTCTTGACAAATTATTTTAAAGAGCCTCTGCAGTTTTGGAAGAGCCGCCTGCTATATTGATAGTAACTCTCTGCGCTTCTTGGACTCTAACCAGACTGCATGGCGGTGTCAAAAGGTGTCAAAAGGCGGGAGGATTTGTACCCTGTTTGTGATGGGTGAGGCATGCTAAAGCATTAACCTCTTGCATGCCAAACCTCTCTGCAACCCCTCTTCCCCCAAAGGCCATGGTGTAGCAGGAATTATGTATCGGATGCTTGCTGGGTTATAAGCATGCCTCTCTGCAGGACTGATGCAAAATGTCCCACCGCTGTGGAGCTATTGTGTCACTTTGTTTGAAGCAGATGGTTGTCCTCTGGGCAGGAGCTCAGATCCTTTTCACCCTCCACTTTGCCTGTCTTTACAGTTCCAGGCTTCCCCTATCCAACTGCAGCCACCACAGCAGCTGCGTTTCGAGGAGCCCATCTGAGGGGCCGAGGAAGAACAGTGTATGGGGCAGTCCGGGCGGTACCTCCCACAGCCATCCCTGCCTATCCAGGGTAAGCACTGGTCACAAGAGCATAGTGCTCTGCACAACTGTGTCATATAGCTAATCAGTTAACCAAAAAAATAACTAAAATTGTCTGGATGGTGAGAGTCAGGATATTGCTAGTGCCAGAGCATTCTGCACACAATGGCATCCAGTGGGGGCAAATCTCAGTTTTTTTTGTGTTAATTTCTTGACTGAAACTATTTTCAGTACTTGAAAGAGCTTAAAGCATTGATGGATTCCTTCTCATAGCTTCTCAATTTGTCTATGTGGTATTCGTCATTCATTGACCCAATATGTTATAGTGCTGCTGAGAAGGATGCAGAGAGAGAAGGTCTAAAATTTCTGAAAAGCTTCTGCTCTTTGCACTCTCATTAGTGTTTTCATATCCAGGGATGAGGAATATTATCCATTACCTTCATGCCTCACCATCTGGCAGTAGGACACAGAAGAGCCAGTTACCCACAATGGATTTGCTTTCTTTGTTGGAGACAGTTTAAAAAGGTTTAAAACAAAGATTAATCAAGTCCATTAATTTAAAGTTGGGAGTGTTTGGGCTATAGGGAGAACGAAAGTGCAGTGTTCTTCTGACTGTTGTATGAAGCAATGATGAATGTGTGGCCTTAGAACTCTTTGCCCTCTGGCTTTTTCGCTAGTAATGCAGTGGAATAGATGCTGTTACAAAAGAGTATTCTGCTGTTGAAAAGTACAGGGAACTAGGTTTGTTTGTTAGTTTTGTTTGGGATTTTTGTTTATTTGTTTAAATGTGATGGAACTACAGATAATTTGGCAAATCCCTTGCAAACTGTCTTTTTTGTTACTGGTTTTGAGGATGCTTTATTCGTATTGCCTGTCCTTGGAATTTTACTTCCTGTATTTTCCAGGCAACATTCTCAGAAAGAATAGGAGTAGGAATTAATCCTCCAACACAGAGAAGTGGAGTGACCCTTTTTTCCTTTAGACTAGCCCCAAAAGGGAAGAAAATAAACTATGTATCTTTCATTAAAAAGGGAGGTGGAAGCCACACCCATCAGTGCAAGGAGCTGGCCTGATATATGCTGGATAAGCTTGCAATAGTTTCTGTAGCAGATTAAGTGGTGAAAGCTACTGTGGCCCTTTCTTTTTGAAGTCCAGTCTGATATTTAAGGTAGAGCTGAAGGAAGCAAGCTGCAGTGGTCATGTATTGCTCTCTGGCAAGTCTGGCAGTGTTTATATTTAATTCACCAAAAGACTTCAAATTAAACTTCTTGTCTGAACATGGTGGCCTTCCAAACAGTTTTTATTCTGGGTTTTCAGATCCACCTCTTTTTGCCACCACTCCTAGTTCATATTCTATATCCTCTAACCATAGCCTCTGACCTGCAACTTGTCTGTTGCTCTAAAAATGACTCAGTCCGGTTTTATTAGGAAATGCTGTACAGTGAAACAGAGAAGCAAAGCTGAGCTAAGTGCTGCCGTCTAGCCGAATATGAAATAGTTGCACTGGGGAGGGGGGATGTGCTCTTCGTCCCTGGGAGTAACAGCTGGAGCATTCCTAGCAAGAGGCTGTTAGGAGTGGTGCACTGGGAAGGACTGGGCTTGTCTTTGATATAAATCCAGCCCGAGTCCCATATAAAAGCTTTATTTTCATTTGGAATATGGGCCAGGCTCCAATGATTATCCCTTCCAAATACTCATGACTGTTTACTTGTGTTACATTGAGTTTGTCTGACCCTCCTGACTGATTTCTTGTCTTTATGGGCAGAGTACTGTCCAGTAAACATTTGCAGGGCAACAGTAAACAAGGCAGGTTCACAAAAGGCCCAGAGCTGTACCTAGTCCCAAGCACTGGGATGTAATTAACTGATTCTGGTGTTTGTCATCATCATAGTCTGAATCTCTACAAGATGTTTTGTAGAGGGAATTTGATTCTTTGTGGAATAATACAAAATGTGCTATTAAGTTCAATGTTGTACTAACTTGTAAGACAGCCACCGCTCCTCGTGGGCACTGTTGGCCTTCATGGTGTCAGGGGCAGGCACACCTCCCTGACACCTTACCCTGCATCAGTTGCTTTCTTCCTGGCCCATGGAAAGATGACACCATAAAATCAGTCAGCAACACATGAGTGATCAAGATAGTGAATAATGTGGAAGAATGTAGTAAAGTAAGCTACAGGTTAACTCAAACCTGATAGAAGGAATTGCTTTTCACAAACCTCAGTTGTGTTTAAGTTACAAAACTTAACGGTATCACTGCATTTGAGAGCTTAGCAGAATTCAAAAAATACAGAATGTAGCTTAATAAAAGCTTGTTGGAATTGCCATACTGGTTCAGACCTGAGGGCCATTCAGGTTAGAGTAAGTTTTGACAGTGTCTAGTGCTAGGTACTCCAGAGGAAGGTGCAAGAAATCATATCGTTCGTAATAGTTTTAACATTTATTTCAAGAACTCAAACTAAGATTTACGAATGCATATATGGAATAGACATACCTACTTATGGAAATGGACATTTATCCAGGGAAGGCTATTCGTACCTTAGAAAGCAATTGCTCAGACCACTGGAGAGGATGTTAGGTAGTCACTTGAGCCTGACCTCAGAATACAAATGTAGCCTTCAATTTATAACTGAGGCAGCATCCAATAGAAGGAGACATTATAAACTCTGATATGTAGGGTGAGTAAAACCTGTACTGGAATATTGCCCTGATTTGTAGCAGCCATGCTTTCTAAACAAGAACGTTGACAAATTACACTTCAGACCAAAAGCTGTAAAAATTAAGTCAGTCTGAAAAAAAAACAAAACAAACCAACAAACAACCAAACAAACCACCAAAAAAAACCAAACCACCCCCCCCCAAAAAAAACCCAAACTTGCCTCTGTAAAACTCTGAAAACTAAACAATCTTAATCGATTTTATTTCTCAAACTATAGGTTAGGCATTGGCTTGTTCATGGTCATTAAGTACCTATGTGAAGAGTAGGCTTGCCATAGTAAAAGTAGATAAAAGTCAGACTATATATAAGGCAGTAGGGAGCTTTGGGGGTGTAGAGTGATTTTTTTGCTTCCTTTTACAACAAAGTAAACTGTTGGTACGCCTAAACAATATGATGGCTGCTTTATGAAACCAGCATATTTATTTTTCTCATGGATGTGTTTTAGCTCAGCTAGTGGGCTTTTAGCAGATGCCGCTGAGATTTGATGGGCTGCCCATAAAAAAAATAGTAGCCCACTGCTTTATGCTTCTGGTCAGTCTACATAACCAGAATGGTCTCTGTGGTTCTCAAATGAAGGAATTCTCTCAGTTTTTGCTAGCATTAAGAATCACAGATATGGATAGTCTAGCCTATAAATGAACCTTGCTAAATTTCAGCCCTGGCAGTTGGTGTCAGTCAAGTCCTAACTGAAGGAGAGACAGAGGATGCACATGTGCTTTGTTGTTTGGACTCAGGAAGTCTTCCTCTTCCCGGTTATTAGCGTTCCTTGCAGTTTTCTTTGGAGAGCTGATGCTAGCATCTCTTGCTGACAGTTTTCAAAGTTACAGGAATAGTGGCCTGATCCAATGTGGTAATGTTTATGTTCATCCAACTGATTGTGTTCAGAATAACTGTTAAAACTGCTAACCTGTTCATAATCAGTCACTTCCTCTGTCATGCGTTTGCCTTTCCTGCAGGAGCAGGTGGAGTATCACTGCTAAAACACTCGTGATCCTAGATAGAGAACCCAGCAATGTAAGTCGCTGCCCCAGGAGCCAAATTCTTTTGTTATGTGGTTGTAAAAATTTAGCTTCAACAAACATGATCTTATGGCCTGCTTCTCCCTGCTGAAGTGGCTCCCCTCTTCCTCTAACAAGAGTCTCTTATCTTCATGTCTGCTCCCAGCGCTCTTGGAGACCATAGTAACTTTGTCCATTGGGAATGGAGTGTACTTTTCCTAGGGAAGACAACAAGAATTCAAGCAGTAGCTAACACTGCAACAGATTTATTTTAATTATTTTTTTTTTTAGTAATAGCATGCAGAATTTTGGCAAGATCTGCTGAGCTTTTTTAGTGTGTGTGTGTGCCTCACGATAGGTGGGTGTCTGAGGGTGGCAGGCTCTTAGCAGCATTTCACATTCCATCTGATGAGTAAAAAAATGATAATCAGAAGAAAAGCTAGTGTTCCATATCTTTCTTTTTCCTTAATGCTACTGGTAAGTCACGTATATCAGATCCATGAATATCACAGACGGTGAGGCTAATGCTTTTTAAAGCCTTGAGTGAGTTTGTGTGGAGCTATTCAGAAGACAAAGCGGGAGGAGATTCTTCAGTATGAAGCACATGCTGAACTTAAATGGGTGGGGGGCATCCCTTCTCTTCCTTCCTCATCCTTCCCCAACCCCTGTCCCCAAAGTGAGCTGCGCAGTCTTACTCTAGTGAATGCTGTGGTAAGAGTGTCTCTTTGGGAACCCCAGGCTCTGGTTTAACAGTCATTC